GCCGTGCGGAGGTTCGGCCTCGGCGTCGGGATGGGTGCGGGAGCCCCGAGCTCCCCCCGTTGCCCTCCATCCTCCCGAATAGCAAACGTGCAGACTCAGCAAGCCGGGCCTGGCAGGAACCCAACGGGAATCGTGACTCCTCCATCGCTCCGCTGCTACGATACACTCGGCCTTGATTGCGCCATGTGTTTATTCTCCGTTCCCGGCTAATCGTGTTTGTTTGCCACGTAAGGGCTGGTGGCCGTCCCTCCCCCGGGTAAAGGCAGTGCAGCTTCGCTGGGTGAAAGCAAACACAGGCGCGGGGTTACAAGTGGTCACAACGGAGACATCGAACCCCAGTCACGGGCGGAGAAGCCATCCCCTGCCCACCGCGCGGCCGTGCGGAGGTTCGGCCTCGGCGTCGGGATGGGTGCGGGAGCCCCGAGCCCCCCCCGTTGCCCTCCATCATCCCGAATAGCAAACGTGCAGACTCAGCAAGCCGGGCCTGGCAGGAACCCAACGGGAATCGTGACTCCTCCATCGCTCCGCCGCTACGATACACTCGGCCTTGATTGCGCCATGTGTTTATTCTCCGTTCCCGGCTAATCGTGTTTGTTTGCCACGTAAGGGCTGGTGGCCGTCCCTCCCCCGGGTAAAGGCAGTGCAGCTTCGCTGGGTGAAAGCAAACACAGGCGCGGGGTTACAAGTGGTCACAACGGAGGGCAGAGCCTTCGGGGATGTGTCCCCAGTTCTGCATGTCCCCACCACCATCAGGTTGCCTTCAGGGAAAGGACCTCAGGATGTGACCTCCATCTCCCAAAGTGTCCCTGGGTGAAGCATCCCACGAGCGTGGAGCTCGCCCCACATTGCATGCCCATCGCTGGGGCCGTTTGGGTTTGTATGGGTGATCGCCCTCCCCACGCCCCAAAAAAATATCCCATGCAGTGTCAGGGAGGGGAGACACGTGCAGGGTGAGCCACGCAAGTGGCCACGTGGAGAAAACCATGGTGGAGCCATGAGGGTGGGCACAGCCGCTGCTGGGGGCTGCACAGCCGGACGGGGTGACCCAAGGCAGTGTGGTGCGATGGACTTGGTGACCCGTCTGTCCCTGCCAGGCAGGAGTTGTGATTTAACTAGTTTCTCCTTTCCCGGTGTTTGCTCTGGAGAAATGTCCCCAACATCAAGGGAGGTGTTATCATCCGCAGCATCTGCACACAGCCTCACGTGCGGCATTTCCCAAGGCTGCAAACAACATCCCCCCACTCCCACCAAGCTCAGATGAGCCCAGCAAGCCCCATACTGGATTTTGAAGCCATGAAGTTCTGAGAACGGACCCACGACCACGTTCCCAGTGACCCCACTTGGTGCTTAACACATCCCTGAGAGCCAGAGGGATGTGATCGCCCATGCTGGCATGGTGCCGGGGCTGCAACTGGCTGCTCCGGGGGGAGTCCAAGGGTGCAGGTCCCTCCTTTGGAAGCAGCAGGAGTCTCACGTCCCGACCTGGAGACCGTGGGGTGCATCCCTGCATCAATGCGGGATACGGCCCAGCCACAGCCAGGCACTGGCCCTGGGAACGGCAAGGGGGGAAATAGCTCCGACACCACCAATGCTTCATGCTCAGCCTGGAGGTTTCATCCCCACCCTCTGTAATCTCAACTTCTTAGAAATATGAAGTAATAGGAGAGGAATCAGTATTTTTTTTTTGCTTATAACCAGGAAGAGTTCCTTAATCCCATGTTGTTAAATACTATAAAACAATATAAATAATGGCCTCTCTGTTTTCCTCCCCGCAGCACCAGTGAGCAGCACTGCACCGCTGGGGACCGGCCCCAGTGAGGGCCAACCCCCCCCCCCGACCTGAGGGAGAAAGGTAGGTTTGGACCCCACGAGATGGGCTTGGACATCACCTTCCAGCTCCTCACTTTTGCTTTAGGGAACAAAGAAGATGCCTCTGAAACGTCAAAACTCCAGTTTTACGGCAGCCAGAACCAGTTGTACGAACGCAGTGACACGTTAATCCGTGCTGGCTGCTGCAGGAAGAGCTACTAAAAATGGGGATATATCTGGCATAGCCCCAGAAAAACCCTTGTGCAATGCAAAACCGACACGGAGCGGCTGGGAATTGGGAAAAGTTGAGTTTGAAATGGCGGATCAAGGGGGAAGGAGCCCGTGAAGCCGGTCCCCGCGCAGCACCAAACCCCTGCGCTTTTGGGATGCTGTGGGCATGGGAGGGGAATCAGCTGTCACTGGGGTTTATGGTAACAGGCACGCAATTTGGGGGGTCAGTCCTGGCTGGGGATGGGAATGGTCCACCCGGGGTCCCCTCGGCCTCACGGTGGGGACAGGGAAAGCCGTACATGGTCCCCAGCCCAGGAATGAGAGAGGACAAATACAGCCCTTGCCGCGTTCTCGTTAAGAGTAATCCTTTCCAAACAAGCACGTGTCTCTTCGGTAAATACTGATTTCACCTATCAACAAATCTCCATTTATTTACATCAGAGATTTGAGCCAGGACTGGCAACTCTGACATAAATTGTCTGAATAATGCAATGTATCCTCTCCTTGCTGGTTGCTATGGGTACTGGGCTGTTTTAGCCTCCGTTTATAAACATTAACTGTGAAGGGGATGTGGAAACTTATCTAAAAATAAAATACTATGCCCAAATCTTTAAGAGGACGGTCTTCGAGATGGCAATAAAAAAAATAATAAAAAAAAATCCTTGTGTAATGGTTCTGAAGCGGTGAAACACAAACACGGCGCCCGCGAGCCCGGCTGAAGGAAACAAGAGGTCGGACTGAAAAGAAACCAACACTTTTAATTCCTGCTTTCCTGCTGAGCAATGCCTGAAGGGTGAATTACAACATGCAAAAGCAAAGGGAAATCGGACTGTTTCGCGGAGGTGACACTGAGAAAAGGGAGGACCCTCTGCGGAGGGGACAACATGATGCTGAGACGTGGCACCGCATCCTGGTGCCTGCGCGGGAGCCTTCTCCAGCGCCGCTGCCAGGGGCTTTACATTGCTTTTTTTCTTTTTTTTTTTGGTCATTTACAGCTTATTTCTCAAACTGTTCTGGGAATCTGTAAACACTGAGCCTGGGTCTGGAGCATCACGCCTGGGATCTTCCCGTTCAGGGCAGGATCCAGTACGGGGCTCTTTGGGACTCGCCAAGGCTGGTGGCAGGGGGGAAGGGGCAGATCCGTACCCGGCTGCTGCAGAATGAAGCAGCCTTTTCCCTCCTTCCCACCCACCCACCGCCCCTGCAAGGCAGTGAAAAATAGCTGGAAGGCACTGGGTGGTGGGGAAGGCAAGCAGGACCCTCATGTGGCCCCCGGGGAAAAAGAGGGGCTGGGTGGGTGTGGAGGGAGGTCGGGGCAGCGACACAGCCAGGGATGGGATATCTGCAGGGTGCGGATGGGGATTGACTCTTCCCCTTGGTCTTCTCCATGCTGGGGGTTCCCCATGGGATGGCTTCCATCCACCTCGGGCAGTGGTTTCGGTTGTACATTCACATCTACGTGCTTTTCAGTCACCTTTCTCGCAGCCTTTGCAAATAGTGCGGAGATGCTACAGGGTGGGACACGACAGCTCTGGATGGGGAGGTTTCCCTCTCCCAGAGAAGAAGGGGTTTGTTGTTGGGTTTGAAGCAGGTTTTCTTGTTGTTGAGTTTGCAGCAGCTTCCCCTCTTCCTTCCCCAGCCGTGTTTGAACACCTCAGGGGCTCCTGGGCCCTCTCTGTTGCTTTGCCCAAGCTTTTGTTTGCTTCCCTTGGCTCTTCGGCAGCATCGTCAGATGTTCTTCAGGTTCAGCTGGAGCCGGTGCTTCCCCACACTCAGAGCTCACTTACGAAAGGCTCTCAATGTCTCCATCGCTACTCTGCTTGCCTTCCAGTCCAAGGCTGGAGCTGGGTTGCTTTTTCCCCTGCAGATCTCAAAGAATTGGTGTGGGAGAAGAGGTCGGGAGGTCCCGCACCGTGTGGCTCCTGGGAGAGCATCGCCTTTGCGGCAGGAGCTGCAGTGACCCCGCAATGGGGACAGAGACCTGGGGACAGGGACTTTCATCTCCTGTGGTCTGCACCGAGGAGGTGCTGCCGTGCTTGGGCTGTTCCTCTGATGGCTTCCAATACTGCGGGGTGCTCAGTTGGCTCATTAAGGGTTGCTGGGTTAATTAGTAGGATACATCTCAGTAGGAAAATGGGCAAATCGGACAGCGTGGGGGCCGGAGAGGCACGCTGTGCCGAGGTATCCGAGCCGCTGCTTTGCAAAAGGCAAAGAGATAAAAAGGTGTGAGGGACCTCACTGGTGCTGTAGCATCTTTGCTGGGGCAGAGGCTACTGGGCTGCCAAAAACTCAGCAGGGACATATGCTTGTCCACCCTCTCTGACTGCCAGCAGGCAGATGTACCGGGGGTTTCCAGGAGGGAATTTAACCCCAGGGAAAGCAACCTGGGGCAGGATCTACATAGTTTTTGTAGAAACCTTTGGCCCCCAAAATCAAGCCCAGGCTGAGTTTCTGGGGTGAGCTGATGCAAACCCATGTGCAGAATGCGCCCGGCTCGCGCACGGAGCAGCCCGGAGCAGGGATGCCCCATTTCCCTGCGGGGTGGACGGGCACACATGCCCTCTTGCACCATCCCTGCCGCTCACTGGAGCACCTGCCACGGCCAATAGCTGCTTTTTTCTACCTGATTTAGACTAAGCCTGGAGCCTTGAAGCTCCCCAGCAATTTTCCCTCGCACCGACTCTCAAGTATATAATCAAAACAATTTGGGGGTTGCTGGTCGGGTGCCAAGAGGCGGACGCAACCACCGCTGTGTAAAGCCTTCCCGCCTGGATTTTTGCGAAGGTTTGATGCTCAAATTCCTTGAGAAGCGCAGGAAGGGCTGTGGAGGAGCCGGGGAGGGCAGGGGCACGCTGGGAGGGCACGCGGTGGTCCCATCCCCATCCAAGGCGCTCATAGGCGGGGGAGCCCAGCAAAGCAGCCGCTCTCGCTGAAACACTGATCAGCAAACATACCTGTTGCTACTTCTTCTTCGCTCCTTTCTGTTTCTGCCGATATATTTCCTCTGTGAAAGGCCTGTGGTTGGGAATTTGGGGAGAGACAAAAGAGAGGGGCAAAAGAAGGAGGAAAGAATTAAAATCAAGACTACTGTGCGCTCTCCTTTGGGCCCAGAAACTCTGCCCTTTACAAGTTGGCACAACCTGACTGTTCCTGTGCCATGGCAATCCTCAGCTCGGTCTCTCTGGGTCTCGGAGCAGCTCCAAGCAGCTCCCACCCAAGTCCATCCCCGCGCTGAGCAGGATGAAGCTCAGCACAGGCTCGGACACACCCCCCCCGGCATGCAGACGGGTCTCAGCTCTCTTTGTATCTCGTCCTCCCCTTGCAAAGACAAAAGGTCTTTCACTGCCGAAGTACAGCCACTGCTTCTGGGAATAACTCTGGGCTGCTCCGTCCCAGGCTGCCAGGCTATTGTGGTACGAAATATTGGAGAAGCCCATCCAAAGAACTACAAAACGTAAGCTCTTGTTGCAGGGTCTCTTCAGATGACACAATGAGTGCTCTCACTGCTTTCCTTATTGTTCTTGTACAGACAGAATCGGGGACCCAAAAGAAAAAAAGGTATCGTTTTGATAAAAATAAACAAACGCATAAATGTTCCTAGAACTCAGCAAATAGTTTCAGAGCGGAATCTGCCCATATCAAAACAATTGAAAAACAATCCTCTGTTTTCCTTCTTCCCCGCTGAATTAATTGGAAAAAACCATCTCTCCTTCTGCAGTTCCCCGAAACCTCGGGAGCTAAAGCTGGTAGAAATAATTAGAAGCCCTCCAATTTTGCAAAGCTACTCACCCCTCATACAGCATTGCGATTGTGTAGGAAATTGCCACTACAGCTGTCAGCAGAAGGCCAGCTGGGCTTGCATGCCTGTTTTGAAAGAGAAGGAAAAGATCAGGTAAGTACATGGGCTTATGCAAGACCTAGTTTAGAAAGCGAAATGAGACGCTGGGCTCCATGAGAGCACTCCCTTGCTCATTAAACGGAAGCGAACAAAAGGTGCTTTTTTTTTTTTTTGTACTTAATGTTAACTGTCTTAGACAGATGTTACTTGGCAAAGACTCTTCCCCAGCCTACTTTGGCGACTTCTTTTAAGTCTGATCCCTGCACGTCTCTGCTAAGAGAGCTTCTGCTTTGATGCTAAGTCCTGAGATTATAAGGCTGTTTAATAGCTGAGCAGCTGCTTACGTACGGCTGTGGCTCCCAGCCAGCGCGCTATAAGGGAAATGCCTGATGTGCAGAGAAAGACGGGCCACCCAGGGCGCAGGAGACACCTGGCAGACGGAGCAGCGTATGGTAGCGTATAGATGGAAACGGCGGCTGAGCCATCACAGGGATGGAAAGGGTCATGCCTGCCCCGTGAAGGGTGCTGCGCTGGGGCTGGGTGCACGGGGACTCGGTTCACATTTAAACCCACTTCAAGATGTTTTAGGAACATGTCCTTTCACCTCCCCGAGGCCCAGCTGAATGAGGTTCTTCAGCAAGAGGTCACCAGGCACAGCACGGGGGACTGATGCCACTCGCCTCACTGCACCGTCTGGTTATGGGCAGAAGTGTTCGAGGGCTGCGGACGCAATAGGGATGGCTGTTCCTTTTAACACCAAGGCCAAAGAATCGGGACCAAAAAATCCCCATCACCTCCTGCTCTAAAGACAGATGTCAACGTAGGCTGCAAACCTGCATCGCCCACCTGGGGACACTTCTTTGACACTTTTTTGGCCTGAAAGTGTCTGAGGCAGACGCTGGCGAAGGCAGCAGAGGCTTTGCTAAGGCACCAGTATTTCAGCCAGGGGGTCACAGTCCCCAAACCAGGTGCTGAGACCATCCTGTGGTGTGTAGATTCCCCCAGGTGACAGTGGCCACACCAGTGGCCATCCCCCACTTGCAAACCCAGTACCCACGAGGTCCTGGCCCCCATCTCCCCAGTGAGGAGCGTGGCTGTGTCTGGCTCACCACAAGCACCAGCATCCCCAAAAAACCCTTTCTGCATCCTATGCCTCCAGCTAGTGGCTGCAAGTGTTGCCCTTAATTAGGACACTGCTGATTGCCTTTAATTGCTGGTCACAGCTCAGCTCCGAGGGGTGACAAGCATTGGCTGTCAGCAAAAAAAAAAAAAAAGTACTTAGCTGGTCCTTGGTGAGGATAAACATCCCACAAGCCTGATGCAAGGCACTAGTCCTGTCGGGAAAACACACCTTCAGAGAGACAGAACTACCTACACCTCCTACTGGACCCGCCGTCAGGTGCTGCCTGGCCAGACCAGTTCCTGGAGAGACACACACAAATCTTCACCTTTTCACTGTTTCCACGTTGCACTAAGTTCTTCCCTCATTAGGACGCACCGGGCAACTTCTTCCTCTCCTAACCCCCTGCTATTACATGCTTAGTCATGTCTCCTCCTTGATTTATATCAGAACAAATTTGCATGATTGTTTGTTGACAGCAAGACCTCTAATTGCATCATTTGGCTGCAGCTCCAGCTCTGATTTACACAGCCCGTTGCCATGAGTTAAAACACTTCCCTACCAGAGATACACAAAGCTGTCCCCAAACTGCTAATGCTCCATTTGTCTTTCGGGAGAAACGCGGCTGCTCGAAGCAGGTGACGAGAAGCATTCGGGTGAGTTGTTTCTCTCCTCTTACCAGCTCGACCTACTTATCGGGCAATGGCTCGTGTTGTAGCAGCATCGACGATGAGCCAGCCAGGAAGGTTTTGTGGTCCTGGCAGGACTTTTTTTTTTGGGTAGGAAGTCTGTCCGCCCCCAACCCTTGCGACAGCTCCCCATGGCTGTGTGTTGTCTGCAAAGGCTCACATCTATCCACCGGCCTCGCTGGTCCCAGGTGTTGGACATGGGACAACCACTTCACCCTTTCCTCCTGGAGCTCCCATTTCCGCGGTGATCAGTGGAGGTGCCTTCTCCAGCATATTCGGTGGACATGGGGTTTTTTTTGGCTGCAGAGCTGCCATTAGCCGAGCCAGGGATAGCTGCAATATCCTGCAAGGGAGAGAACAGCGGCTCTCGCCCCACACGATGCTGTTAAGGTTGGACTGGAGTCGGAAGGCAGGCTGGCTGGTGCGCTGCCAGGCTCGCTTACGTTATGTGGTATGTGCCCTTCCAGATGAAAATGAATCAATCTTTTGGGCTCCGATGCCGCGATATGGAGTGTGATACATCACCGAGGGAGGACAAATACGCTCTACATTTTAGGTCTGTCCAAAACCAGACAGCAAACACATTCCTTCGGCATCCTTCCCACTGCCACAGAGCCAGGACATGAGCTCCAGCCTCTGAGGGCAGGCACCTAACATCTTCTGAAAGCCCTGGGACTTCAGCGAGACCTAGGATCCCCAAAAAACCCCTCAACAATCTGAGCTGAGATCCCAGGGAAGAGAAACAGTCAAAAACACCACCTGAAGGGTTGTGCAGAGCTTCCCCAGGGCAGGCGGGCGGTGTCCCGGTGCCACTTTGCACAGCAATTTGTTAACAGCAATTATTTGTCATGCCTCGCTGCCCTTTTACGGAGGCAGCCGTTTAACGAGAAAAAGGAGGCGATCGCCCTCTTGTCTTGAGGCGCTTTGAGCTGTGTTTGCCCAGGGTTGCGGTGGAAGACCACGCAACGCGCACCTGGCGCAAGGTTGTTCTCTCACGGGGGCCAAGAAGGGATTTCTGTGACAGAAACAGCTCAGGAGGGTTCAGCTGGTTCTGCAAAGGTTCTAGGAAATAGTTTGATGTTAATCTTAAACAAATAAAAAATTCCTTGTAATTCCTCCCCGTCAAATTCTTCCTTCTATGCTGTTGTTGGGGTGGTGGTGCCGGTCGCCTCTGGCCGCAGTGTGGTATGGGGGGGGCTCATCCTGCCCCAGTTCTGCCCCATTCACCCCAGCAATACCCATGCTGCCGCCAACCCCGTGGCCGGCTCTCCTGCCCGGCGCTGCTGTGGCCCCAGCAGCGAGCTCGCTCCGGCTCTCGTGCACCACATCCCGGGGTTTGGACCCAATCCAGTGCCACGGGTCTGCCAGGAAGGCGAACGGCCTCATGCAGCCAACCCTGACGGCACCGGGGGAGAGAATTGCAAGCGCAGAACGAGCAGCGGCAAGGCTCAGTGGAGACAGGAGAGAAACCATCAGCTTTACTTATTACCAGGGGCCAGAAAGCGCTGCACACGTGGCTGAAAAGGTGACCAGAAAGTGGCAAAGCAATTCATTTTTTTCCACTGAAGTAGAAGAGAGGTGATCACACTCGGGAACACCAGTGCAAAATATCTAGTGGTAACGGCCCGCAATGCTCTACGGGCTCCCGATGTAACACAGCCAGGGCTTTTTTTCTCCTGGGCAAATAAATAAAATGTGATATTAAATGAAAACCACATAAAACTTGTTACACAGAATACAGTATATTGCTCATTTACTGCTAAATTACAGCCTATTCATTTCCTGCTAAGCAGCCTATTAAACTGTGTTGTATCACATGAGGAGTGTTTCGGAAGTGTTATTACCGTGCAGTGGGGGAAAGGGTGTGTTGGCTTGTTTTGCTTTTTTCAGAGGTAATTACAGGGTCACACTGATCCCCAGTATCAGTGCCCTGCCCCTGCCGAGTGACACCCAGCATGAATTCGGCCCTGACTGTTGATTTTTCCACGTGCAGAGCCTGCCAAGGACCTCGTTCAGCTGCAGAGCATTTGCTGATGCTTCCTCTCCCCAGCACTTGGCCGTTTCTTTATTTTTCTACAATTAATGCTGCAAGTCTTTTATGACAGCAGAAGATTTTGCACGCGCAAAAATAGTCAGGAAGCGAGAAACCAGGGCATGTTGCGCTTTCCCTGCCATATTTTTTGCTGACTGCCATCACCAAGAGTGTCTTTGGCCCCTGATACAGCCCGGCACCTTACGCCCTGCCGAGCACAGACCCCACACGTGCCCTACGCCCGGTGCTGTCGGAAGGCGCATGTACTCACATGAGGGACCAGCCCAGGTAGACGGCTGTGCTGCCCCAGTACATTGGATTATCCAGGACGTTGAAGGGGAAGCTGGTCACTTTTGCTTCCATCAGGATGCCGAAGTAATCACCTGCAGAGCCAACAGAGGGTTTCTCGTTAGGCTCCACGAAGCGGAGAGTCGCAGGGGACTTTGGCACACTGATACTCTCCCCATACCACGGAGCATCCCTGCTGGGGAGGCAGAGCAAAGGCAAACGAGGAGTTTCGCTGCTGATTTCCAGGCTGAGAAAACAGCAACAAACAGGTTGGCTGTTTACTCCGTGTCTATCAGCTTTTCCAGGAATGGCTCTTTGCCCATGAGAAAGGTTTGTGCATTGCAATGAGGCTATGGCAGCCACGGCCCTCGTCGGGAGGCAGCTCTCGAGGTCCCCACTGGCTTTCTCATTTGAAAACTGCCCATGTGATGCCACTTGACGAGGAAGCAAGTGCATAGGATCAAAACCATTTAATGGGGAAATAAGACCAGCGCACTGTAACGGTGTTTCAAGATGTTATAATCACGACCACCACCACCAAATGCCCTCATTCAGTGTCACCCTTATCTCATAGTTCAGAGGATTTCTCAGAATTTCAGAAAATAGCCCCTCTGCCTACAAAACACTCAATTATCGGTACGATGATGATAATAGGTGATTGTCATCTGTAATGAGGAAAGCTTTCAGAACTGTCAGCATCCAACCAGCTTCCTATCTACGTCGGAGTAATCCTTCCACCCTCCTGAAAGGAGCCTGGAAAAGAAATGACATGCAAGGAGACGTTGTGCTGCTTGTGAACGCCGTTTCAGGAGGGGATGCCGAGCTGTAACATCTTGCTGGTCTTACTTGCAAGATCACGAAGCCCAGCAAGCATTTTGTTCCACGTCAACTGTACGAGACGCAGCATCAATCAGCGAGGAGCAGTGCCGGTCCATAAGCCCAGGGAGCTGCCACTGCCCTGGGTCGCGTTCCCAGCTCTGCTGCCAGCCCGTTCCCTGACCTTGGGCAAGTCTCCTCCATCCCTCCCGGTGCTATTGTGCACCGATCATAATATCAGTCTTTCTTATAGCGCAGAGGGTGGTGAGGATTAATGTATGGTGAGAAAGTGCTTGGAAATCCAGATAAAAGGCATTACAGGAGTACAAACTATTCAAGGTTATTATTATTACCTGAATTGTAGCGTAATTTCTTTGACCTCACAGGGTGCAAAAACATTTATTTCTAAGGATAAACAGCGCCTGCCCAATTAGACAATGCTTTTGGGCCTTAACTACAGGCCACTAAGTGAGATAATTGCCTGGTATTCATACTATATGTTCTCACAGTTACTTGGCAATGCATCTCTGAGATTGTTCTGGTAGAAAGAACACATCACCCCCTGCCACAGCCCATTTCTGTGCTTTCTTATGTGTCAAAATGCTTCATTATACCCTGCCCGCCCTCGCCTTTGGGCTGAACACCTCGCTCCCCGAACGGTGCTGGCACCGCGGAGGTTTGCACAAAGCCCTGGGTCGGTGGGGCTGGCAGGGGCTTATCTGAGCCCAGCACCAGTGGGACAGTGGGACCATCCAGGCAGGCTCCCTGCAAGCAAGAACACACAGCAGCAGGGGGGAGCAGGCAGCTCCCCCGGGACACAAGCTTTTCCGATGTAAACCCTGCCTCTAAACCCACAGAGTTAAATGAACATGACCACTAGAGAGGACCTGCAATATTTTTCTAGGCGGGCAGAGGCTAAGGTTTGCACAGCACCAGCCTGGGCACCTCCTGTGCCTCCCATAAGCCCTCAAATCAGAAATCAGCTCCTTGTCAGGCTGGGGGACTTTGGCATCTAATTTTGAGGGGGTGTTTTTTGCTGGAGGTCAGTGTAACCATCTCTCTGCACAGGACTTAGGATGGTGGCAGCAAAAAGCCATTTGATGCACTCCGCAAGGTCCCCTACGGTTCCCGGAACCTGACCTGGGCTGAAGCACCACCTCTGCTTCTCTCTGGGGAGCCGCTGGCTTCACCATAGCCCAGTGACAGACTTCAGTCAAGTCAGATTTACTTGAAATCTTGGTCAGCGCTGGAAGGAACCGCGCTCGGGTGCGAGACAGATGGGCTCAGACAGGCAGAGCCGCCTCTCGGTGCCCTCGGCCTCCGGGAAGCCAAGCTCTTGTTACTACGTTCGTTGGGAAATAGGGCAAATGGCGAGGCGGACGTGCTGAACTGATGCCCGAATCCCTGCGAGGGCACGGTGCAGTGACGGGGCGCCAGGAGGATTGCTCTGCTGGAGAAGGCTGCCGTGAGTGAGGGGCTGCATCCAGCTGCCGCGAATAGAGGCTGGGGGAGATGTGGAAGGGATGGGGTGGCACAGAAAGGCTTGTTGCAGAAGGGTGACTCACGTGGCTCCCGCTGCACCATTTAGCCCACACTTCAGAGATAAAGTGCTTTGCAGCCGCTCCAAAGCTTAAATGTGATGTTAAAGAGGAATCTAACGGGCAGCCCCGATGCGGTCTCTGCACCTTGCCTGGTTCGGCCCTCACTGCTGTAGGAAAATCCAAAAAGGAAGGGTCAAATGCTGTTCCAGTAAGTTTTTGAAGTGCTTGAGTACCAGAGGCTCTCTCAAAACTCCTCTCAAGCTCAGGTATAGACTGTGAGAAGCAGCTGGATGATGCTGTAAAGCCCTTCTTGCCAAAGCAGCACAGCCCTTTGCTACCTGCAGTCAGAAGCGCTACCAGTGCTGAGGGACCCTGCTCCTCCTGCAGCGCCAGCACATCAGTGAAACCAAGTATACAGGAAGACTTTGGAAGTACCAGTCCCAGGTGAATCCTGAGCAAGAGAACATCCCATATGAGATCCTCAGAGACCTCCAGACCCCTCCTCTTCCCCATAGCTGGGTAAGAAACCACGCTGAACAGCGTTCTCCATTAAGAGTTTGCTGACTTGGACTCGTGTGGGCTTGCATGGAGCTGAGAAGCCGCTGTTGGTCCAAGGATGGATGCTCTGCAGGGCTCCATGCCTCTGTGGCACAGAGGTCCCGAGCCAGCCCGGCTGCACCAGCTCATGGTCTTGGCATTTCCCCACCCTGACTCAGCTCTGCCCCGGTGCCCGTCATGCCCGGGTTAGCAGAGGGCGCTGGCCTTGCTCCCTGCTGCATCATGTGAGGCTCGGAGCCATGAAGACTCAACCTGGTGCACTGGTGGCAGGTAAAGCCTCCACCAGCAGAGAGGATGGAGCAGAAGCACCGGATACGGGCCTCTTCCCTGCCCCGGGGAATACGGGAGCCACCGGCCATGCAGAGCAGAGGGAGACAGGGCCACTCTCACCACTTACGCTAAGCCTGACTCACTTGTTTGCTTTTCCCCAGCGGTTCAAGTCCAGTGGATCCTCCTGGTCGGATGAATCAGGCTTTACGTAAACAACCCCAGACCTGGCTGAACTTCAGGAGCATTCAAGCAGCTCTTGCTGGTGGGTACTTCTGTGCCCGGCCTCTCTGGATGCGTCTCCACAGGCACAGCATCGCTCCTGGTGTCTGTGGGCGATTTTGGAGGATGCCGGTGGCCGGTAGCTGGGGGACAGGGGTGTAACACAGGGCCAGGAGCGGGGCTGCACAGATGAAGGGTGAGGACACACATTCAGGAGCGCTGAGCTCTATTTCTGGCAGCAGGATCTTGGCCAACTCAACACATTTCTTTGCAACTCCACTTGAAACCAGGAAGGCTTATTACCTCCCTTCTCTTCTTCCTGGCGACGCTGCAGGAGCTAATTGAATTTGGTTTGTAAAGCACTTGCAAAAGCACAGCCTAAATGCAGTGTCAAAGCCGGGGCTGTGATTATTTCAGCCAGCGGGAGCTGCCCCTTTCCTTAGATATTTATTGTTCCTGTCTCTATTTTATTTTTATGAATTCCACACATACTGGCATGTTTTTAAAGTCAACAACGCTAATAGAATTACTCTCTAAATGTGAAAGCAGGCGCAGTGGAAAATGCCTTCTGCCATAAAGCAGCAGATAAAAGAGTCTGTCAACGAACGTCAGGTTTATTGCAGAGGGAAGAGCAAACGAGATGTTGCCTCGGCGCGTGTGTTTAGCAGGTGGGGGCTCAGCGCAAGGCTGCTCGACAGCTCGCACCCGCTGTGCCGGTGTCAACCCCCTCACGGGGTCTGCACTCGGGGTCCCTTTTCTGGAGGGCATTTGGACTGTCAAGACGATTAGCCACTTTCTAAAATTTCAGGCTTGACACTGAAGGTGATGGGACTCACAGTCTAAAACCACTGCACCATCTTCTCCATGTGAGGGAACCGCGTGGTTTGATCACGCTGTGGTATCATAAAGCCAAGACCAAATCTAACAGCCCTGAAGGCAAGGATGAGAAAATTCTTACAGGACTCTGCCCTACCTAAAGACCCCTGCAAGGACTAAATGCACCTTCTGGTTAAGCTGTTGAATTTTTATTGCTTACCTAGGAATGTCCCGGTGAATCCCAGTGCTAAGAAGCTGGAGATGACAAACAAGGTCCCTACAGCCAGGATGGCCAAGCCCGAGTAATAGGCCCAGTGGCAGTCCAAGCCTTCCAGCTTCGGCTGGCTCTTCATGGCTTCTGTGAAGCTGTTGGAGAGATAACAAGGGCTGTTAAAAGCAGCGACGCATTACTAACATCACCCACCTCTCCCTGGCAAATGTAGAGCTTTGGGAGAGGATGCTGCTGAGGAGGACTCGTCACTGGGTCCCTTTTTCCACCTGGATCTACTCAGCCTCCCAACAGGAGGAGCAAGGAGCTGAAGTCTTGTGAGCAGCTTGACCTGGGGCAGCTATTTCTACTTTCAACGCTTGCTCGCTCCTGGAAATACCAACCCCACTGAACTGCAATACCAAAAGCTTTGCCTCGTTCGCCAAACCCCAGGTTTCATCATGACCGGGAGCTCTGGGAAAGACGCCCTTGCAAATGCTGGAGGCTGCGATGCCTCGGCACAGGACTTGAAGGGTTGGGAACAATCGGCTGGGTTATCTCGTGCTCCCACCCCCGTTCCTCTCCATCAAAATATTTTGCAGCGTTCATGTGTTAGCCACGTGCCCAGGAGTGATTCACGGCTGAAGCCTGACAGTCAGGGGGAGGATTGGAACAGGGAAAGGAAAATACTAGAGTGCGAACACAGCTTCTCGGCTCCAGGCTTGTTCAGGCATTTCAAGTCTGACCTTCCAAATACTCGTTTGTGAGTAGACTAACTGTGACCTCTCCTTTCACTTCACCCGGAGCAGGGCTTGGCATCTTACATTGCTCCGATACAAACGTATGACTACAAAGGAGACAACACTGTGATTAAGAAAATGCCCATTAATAATAGCGAGAGGAGATAACAGACCCGCAGAGCTGTACACAGTGTTTCTCCACATGTTGCTGACACACGAGGTAGGAAACTTGGAGCCTTTTTTTAATGAGCACCCTGGAGGCTGAAATTCAAGTGGAATAACAGCTCTCCTGCGCCTCCGGCCACCGCTGCCTTGCCAGGGCTGGGCCAGGAAAGCTGCTCCTGCTCCTCGGCTGGAAAGTGCTTCCATGACGTTACTTGCAGGGGTTGGGATAGATTTCCCCCCCTCCCCCGATATCCAGCTTCCCTAAACCCTGCCAATCCCTGGATTTTCTCTGTTGCCCAAATGAAAGCTGAGAGAGACAATCCTGCCTGCCCCACTGATGGACAAGTGGCTGGAAATGCACCTTTCGAAGGCTCAAAGACCAGATGGTGAGTTACATGCACCAAGCAAAGTCCAGGATGATATTTAAACCCCACGGTTTAGGGACCTGGATGGTATTTTTTTGTTTTCCTTGGAGCTTTTTCCTACTAGGTATTTTACTGTCGGGAAGTTTTTAGGACCCCAGAGCAAGCCATCTTTACTTCGGACTTGAGCAAGGAAACAAACCACAAAATAAATGCAACGTGCTCGGGAATGAGAAATAATGCAGCATCTTGGTGATTTACACTCTTCCCCCCCACTGGAAATGACAGAGAAATTCCCCTTTTCCAGGGAGCCGAGCACTGGCAGAGGAATGACAGCGTGGCCCCCGGCAATGTCATGCACACATCCCCCGGGCTGACCCTCCTCCAGCGCCCAGCACACCTCCGGGCTCTCACCAGGCTCACGTTCCTTCAGCTTAAAATCAGTGCTGATGGGAACACACAAACCCGTCTGTGACGCGAAGCAGCAGCAGCAGCTGCACAACCTTTTGCATCACTCCCCTGCTATTTATTTTTAAATGACACAAGTCTCCCCTATGAAGAAGCCCAAATCTACATCCCTGCAACCAGCGCTGCCTGGGTTTGGGAGGAAAGCAATCCCTCTGCGGGGATGTGCCCATCCACCTGAGCAATCCTCCTTGCCGTGCTCTCAAAGCACGATGTGACATCCCCAGGGATGCTCTGGAGCTCTTTGCTCCCGCAGAGGAAGATGCTAATGCCTTTTCACAGCACTGGCGGTTTGACTCCGCATCTGGCCAGGACCTCTCCACAGGTCACCAGCACCGGGAAGGGATCTCAACAGCAATTAAAAAACGCTGCTGCTGATCGCTGGGGAGGTGGGTCTGGGAAAGCAGCACCGAGCTGGCCCCCGCCTGGATCTCAGCCCCCAGCCAAGAGATGGGAGAGCAGAGCAAGGTACCGCTAGAGCACAGCGTTTGGAGACTGCTTCTCGCTCCAGATGAACTGGATTCACGCTATCTTACATCCTTGAGGCTCATCTATCCTATGCTAGTGACCTGACTTGGCCTCAGAGCAGGACAAGAACAAAGATGGCTTCAAGACCGTGAACTGGTTGATGGTGAATCGGCCTCTGAGGTTTTGCAACCAGCACGTGACGTGGTTCATTCTGGCAAAGCTCTCTCCCCTGCTCCAGATATTCCCATCCTTCCTTTTCATGGTCGGATGGGCCTGCATTAGTTACCCTCATCAGCATGTCTTGCTTGGTCCCCTGCTGTTTGGCTTACAGCTAGAGAGGGAGGTGTTTGCACGGAGATAATGGACTGCCTTTCCCTCTAGTAATGTTTTATATCTTCCTAAACACACTCTCTATTTGCATTAAACATGATGCGCACAGGAGTTTTCAGAATTGGTAAATAAACCTTTTAAGCATTTATGATGCTGGGCCACGACAAGCAGCACGGAGTTGTCAATTATTCTGGCATCCAAGACTGCTCCTCAGTGGTGGAGGAGTCTCACCGCACCACATTTCACCCTCCCTGGCAGGGGGAGGACAAGGTGTTGGCCATCTCCCTTGCTAGGGGAGCTAGTCATGCAGCCGGTTTGTCATTAAACCAGTCCCTTTCACCATGTGCCTCTGAGTCACGTTTCTTACAGCATTTATTCCTGGCTGCACAACAAGGCAGCGGCCCAGCTCGGCACCCAAGAGGACACCAATTAAAGCCAGGCTTTGTCCCAGTACCTAGAAATGCTTTATGTGCCGAGCGGAGTGATTGCCATGGTGAGGAGCATCCCTCCTACCAGCACAGTGGAGGGGAGGGTGGGTTGCGACTTACTTTAATCACATACCTGACTGCTATCACAAGGACATCTGCCATGGGGGGGGGAGCTGGGAGGTGCCTCCACCTTTGGCAAATGGAAATTGGGAAAATGGCCTTCCCCGGACATCTCCCCACACTTGCTGGCATGAAGCATGATAACACAGACACCCATTCTCCACCCCAGCGGGGAAAAACCCAAATCCATCAGCTCCATTCTGGCTAAACTGGTAGATTTGGCCAATTCCTGGCAGGGTGGGAGCAGCCGTGGTGGCTACGGTCAGGCTGTGCAACTGGCACAGTGTGCCACCGGGTTCTGCATGAGCAAGCCAGGACAACCGGTGTTGTTGTGCCCACCCATCCCAAAACAGAGACACACCAGCTCAGACACTCAGCTGTTGCTGCGCACGTACCACTCCTTTGTGGGAATCATAGAATGGTTTGGGTTGGAAGAGACCTCTAAAGACCATCTAGTCCGTCCCCCCTGTCATGAGCAGGGACATCTGCAACTCGAGCAGGTTGCTCAGAGCCCTGTCCAACCTGATCTTGAATGTTTCCAAGAATGGAGCATCTACCACCTCTCCGGGCAACCCGGGCCAGTGTTTCACTACCCTCATCGTAAAAAATTTCTTCCTTATATCTAGTCTGAAGCTACCCTCTTTTAGTTTACCACATAATAAACCACACGAACTGGAAAAACACTCAGAACAGTACCAAATGAAGCACGGGGCTGGAGATGCCACATGGGTGGGCTCGCAGGGAGAAAGTGGGAGCGAGGGAAATCGACTGCAGGTCCTCTCGCTGGGACACAGAGGGGACACGGGGCCAGGTTTGCTCAAACAGGCGCTGATTTATTCAGCTGGAGAATGGAGATTACAACACCAGAAAACTTACCAAACCTGCAGCCCAAAATGCATCCCCAAAAGCCGCATGGAGCGTGAAGCAAACCTGGAAATAGTGTATGAAGAGAGAAGCTGAGCTTTTTAGGTCTCCGAGCCTCTCTCGGTGGCCCACGCTGAGCATATTTTGCAATCCCTTTCCCGCAAAGGAGGGCAAAGACCTCATCCAGCAAACTGGGTCGCTGCTGGGAGCAGCCCAGCAGTGCTGCCTTTGCCTGATCCCAAAAATCAGCCTGGAAACCAGGGCTGGCAAACACAATTGGAGCAGAATTGGGCCAGGGGCCAGCAGGCAGCAAGGAAGCAGCGGTGGTGCAGGCGGTCAGGGTTTCGGAGGCAGCAGCTGGCACCACAAGGTGCCAAACTCGCCATGCAGGACGTCGGTCCGTCCCCCATGCCTGAGGTTTTGTTCCTCTCGGCAAAAGGAGGCAAGGGGGGTAAAACCATCCGGTGGTGCCCAGCAGCATACACAGCAACAAAAGATCTTGTTCATTTGGAAAAAAAAAAACAACACACAAACACAACACACCAACAAAAAACAAACCACAACCCCAACAACGTTAAAATCATTCTGCCGATACCACTGGCAATTGTTAGCCCAGTCATCATCTTCACAGCTTCTTTTGCCAATAATGACTTTGCTTTTCTAGCAACACCAGTGTGCATGTTATTTAGGTCAGTTGGGGCTGTGGCAGCTTCTCCCCCCACCTCACATCTCAGCTGCCCGGTCTCCTCATCCAAATGCCCGGCAGCTGGGCTAGTGGGAACACGAGGTGCTGTTGGCCACCTGGGGCTTTTCCCAGACAGCCATCAGAGATTGCCGGCAGCGCGGCTCGGAGGGGACATCGGCTCCTTCAGGCCACGCTCAATTCCCATCAAACTTGGTCACTTCTGCACAAAAGGCCACATGGTTCTCTGATCAATACCGTTTACACCATGGTACTAGCTCACATAATTAAATAGCATTGAGCATAAAGCCAATAGGCACTACCAGGCAATGACAAACAACCCTTTCCCTGTGCAAAATCCCATCCCAGGGTGGATTCATTTTCTTGGAAGCATCAGCACCAAGTGAGAAGCCCGTCCATGCAGGAGGCAATGCCCAGCAAGTGGCATCAATCGAGGACTTCACGTCAGCCGGCAGTGAGGTACCCACCGAGCACTGCCAAAAGCGCTGCGCTCGCTCAGCCTCTGCGGGGCACAATCCCACCGGCGGCATCACAGCCCCGGGCACCCCAAGACCCTCACATCTGCAACGCCCCCCATTCAGGGTGTGCACGTGGGTGTTGCTTTCACTTGTCAGGCAAACAGCCTGGGACCCTTAAGGTGGGAAGTTCACAAGGTCCCTGTGTACAAAGCCACCTGCAAACGCCTGCCCCGAGACGGGGAATTTGCCAGAGTGTGCCAGAAGGAGCTCAGGAGGGCTCGGAGGCAGCACCAGTGGCTAACTGCAGGGCTGATGCAGGGAAAGATATCAACGATGAGAGAGCGACACTGGATGTAAGTTTGGAGGACAACGAAGATCATCACGTCCCATGTCACACAGATAACAGTCGTAAACTGCTGGGGTAGTGCAGGCACTGCAGATAGTTCAAAAGTTCAGGAATTGTTTTCACAGATAAGAGCCTCGGTGATGGAAGTTCCCCGCTTCTTGCTGAAATAATACAGCTGTAATGAAAATAATCATTGTACCAAAGCAATTAAGGATGCTTGCCTTGTGCAGTTGACTAAACAGGTGTCCCCCCCCCCGGTCACAGGTCATTCTGGATTGCTTCTGAGAAGCAAGCCAAGACTGATAATGAAGCTCAGAGCTGGGAAGCATCTAATCGCTTAATTGAACACAAGACATTCCTCTTCTTCCTCCCAAGGTATCCCTTCAGAGCAAAGCTTGCATGAGAGCATCACGGCGCTGAATTGGGGACAGGACCACAGCAGAGACCCCTCTGTGGGGCTGGCAGCAAAGCAGCCACACAGCCCATCTCCCCAGTGCTTTCAGCCACAACGCCAACCCACTCGCAAAGTTTTTGTCTGCTCTGCCCTCCTCTCCTCCACCCCCACCTTGGAGCTTTTCAAAAAAAATTCAGTTACAAAAAAAGGAAGCAGGTTTTTAAAAACAAAAGAGACATCCCGTGGGCTCCTCAATCGCTGCCTGGCAGCCCCCACCCACATAAAAAGTCTCCAAAGCACGCAGAGAGGAGTTTGAAAGGCTGGATTACAGCACTGGGGGTGGAGGAACTTGCCTGAAGCTGCCTTTTCACTCGCTATCAGCAGCCAGCATGCCCTGCACAAGCCACCCCGACCACTGCGAGCAGCTGAAGCGTGAGGTACAGCTTGTGCTTTGCCAGCTGGATTGCCTCCGTGGGGCTGAGGAATGGAAAACCCGCTTTCATCAGTGCGCTTGAGTGCAATCGACTCAGAAAAAAATATGGCAAAATAGCGAGATCGGGTGAGATGCATCCCTCTCGGCATCAGTGGCCACTGAAATGACAGTGCCCGTGTTGTATAATCCACGAATCCCTCTGGACAGCCGAATCCCGGTTCAGACCTAGCTGATATATTCATGCAAAGGGGAGGATGAATCCTTCCCAAACATCATAACCTCTCCAGGCTTGAGCAATAAGCCTTGGGCAGTTCTGGAGGACTCGCTGAGCTGGGAATGGAGACAGTGAGTCTTCCAGGTGTATTTCAGGGCAACTCCAGCAGTTGCTGCTCTGACGACCACCCTGAAACCATCCCACCACTCCCACAGTTAAGGGCTTGCCTTGCTTGAACAGCCTTCAAAGCCTGCTAAACCGTCACTCGGGCCAAATTCAGTGCCAAGGGAAAGGCAAGGGAATAACCCAACCGTGTTGAAACACCTGGACAAAATAAACTTCCCACTGCAATCATCTGAAATGGCCTTGGCCCATCAGGGTGGGCTGGCAAGCACAGTGGGCTGGTATCTCACCCGTGTTGTGCTGGGGGTGAGCTGCCCCCTCTTCTAGAGCATCTCCTCCAAAACCAAGGTCCAAGTGAGGCTTTTCCAGCCCCCTAGGTTGACCTTGCTGTTTCCTTCAGGGCCCGTCTCATGCACCGCGCAGGCAGAGCCAGCCCCAATGAGCTCCACAGCACTAACAAACTCATGACACAGAACAGAGCCAGCACAGCCAGCGGTGCCGGCCCTGGCAGGGCACTGAGGGGTCTGCAGGGGGAAAGCATGATGTAGTGCTGGGACAGATGAGGTCTCTCTGGCTCTCCCAGCAGTGCCTTGCTGTGATCCAGCAAGCCTCACTGACCCAGGAGCCAGCAGGACCACTGGGAATGGAAACTGTCCCTCCATCAGCTGTGTTTTCAATTAAAGCCAGGCACAAGGCTTCGCATTGCTTCCCAGACAAGAAGTGACTATGTCATTTGTGCAAGAGACTGCTGAGACATTCCCCAGCGAAATCCAAGCCCGCTGTGTCACCAAGACATCAGCAGAACACACACGTGCCCTCCGCATTGCCTGCACTCAATTACAGCCCCATTCATTGCAAGCTTTCTTACAGTTTTTGCAATAAGAAGTTGCTGGGACAAACGCAGAAGGGCAAGGGCAGGTCTTGGTGTCACTTCCAGGAAGGCAAAGCTCTTAAATACATGTACAAATTCCAACCTGAGATCTCTGTGTCTGGGAAATTATCCAAAGTACTAAACAACCTATTAGCTCTGACCCTGACATAATTGAATCTGGGAATTTAGTAAGAGAGTCTGTCTCTCCTAACAGCGTTGAAGATAAAGCCTACCAGATCGCAGATAAATTGCTGGCATTGAGGAAATCTTCTGCAGTAAACCTCTCTGCTGCACTCAGAACGTCAAAGGACATATTCCCATGGTGTACGGTGCATCAGTCATACAATACTATTAGCTAGCACAGGTGGTATTTAAAGAGATCGCAGATAAGAGTTTACAGAGACTGCTTGCTAAGTGCACAGATAATCCTGCTCTTCTACACAGGAAACTGCGGCTTCTTAAAAACAGGTTTAATTTTGTTTATGATTTTTATGAGAAAATTAGAAAAATTCTGCTGTTACATATGATCCCTCCTGTGCAAACAGTCCTCCTGTCACCTGGGCTGCTCGCAGGGCAGGGGAAACCGCCCCCAGAAAGCGGAGCAAGGAAACCTGCAATGCTCAGCGGCTGTGACGCTGATGATTTTGGCCACGCTGCCGCATCCCCTGTCTTTATTACAAATCCTGGAATAAATCTGCTGCTGGCTGAAGGTATCCAACCACGTAAAAGCAATACGCTGGGGCTGAATCCAGCACTGCAGAGCAAATATTCCTCATCCCCCCCACCCTACAAGGGCATTTCTTTGCATCGATATGTAGCAGTAGGGTTAGCTCCTTACCAATGGCTCCGCACACAGTTAAGCATCAGGATAACAGCACCCAGGCAGTAGCAGGCAGCATGCGGAGAGCCGAAGACTCGGCTGAGCGCTCGCGTTTTGTGCTCCCATCTGGCTACCTGAAGAGACAACAGAAAACAAAGCGGGTGGTTGGAGGTGCCAGCGCACATTCCCTGGAGCGTGAATCCCACCGCCTCAACCCCGTGCCGGGGGACACACTGTCTGCATGGCTTTGTGCAAGAAGCAAGCAGAGGCGACTGATGGGACACGGCTTAAACCAAGCTTAGGGATGAAAGCTCTTTCTCCTACCCATACCATCCCCTGCATTACACATGCCCTTGCGTACCAGGCCAGCCAGCATCACTGAGGTACAGGGGTATAAGGGGAAAAAAAAAAAAAAAAAGAAAAAAAAAAAGCACCCTACACATCAGTTTTGGAGAATACATGGCTAAGGCTGTCCCTAGGCCACCAAAGCTGGCAAGCCCCTGCTACAGAGTCTAGTAGTACTCTCCCAGAAGGGGAACAGATCCCTGGATAGGGGACAAGCCACCCAGACACTCATCTCTTATTTTCTGGGCTCCATCATCTCCTACACCCAGCCTTAGGGATCATACCTGGCAGGAACAAGGCCATCCTGCTCACTCCAGAAGAGTTAGCAAGCACATTCCCCAACACCCCCCAAACAAGACCTGCCAGCTTTTTATCCAGGCGGAACCAGCTGCCCTTCGTTAGCACTCGGCAATTGTAGCCATTAAGGGCTCACCTGCACTCCTCACCCATCCCTCTGCGGCTGTCTCAATGCAACCCATAGAGCACATCCCCAGGACTCACATGTACACAAGTGGCATCTCTGGGGAGGCATTAGCATCCTTAACAGCACACTTTTCTCTGGCTGCAATTTTAAGCTCTGTGTTCGGCAGAAGCTGCGGGGGGGCCCCCTGCCCAAACCACCTCGCAGCTGAGGAGGTGCCTTCTCACCCCGGGGGGAGGCTGCTGCACGCAGGTGGCTGGAGCTGCTCCCAAAATCTGCAGCACTGCATCCACCCAAGTCACCAAATCCAGGACCCTCATTCTCAAGCTGATGAAAATCCTTACAGCTACTCATTTCGACCTTTCCCACATCCCTCAGGAAGCTGCCGCTGTATTTATCGCCTCTTTTAGGCTCTATTTTCAGGTGCCAAGCGTGGGGTTTGGATCAGACCCTAGATACAAGCCAGGCAGAGCACACCTGGGCAATGAAGCGGGAGGTGGGAGTCAGCAGAACAGCTCGGCACCAATTTGCTTCTCAGACACGGCTGGCACTTCATTAGCTTCAAATGCACTTCACTCCCCCGCACGGAGCCCGGGCAGCTTTTTGGGGGGCACCTGCAACCCAACTATTCATCTACTCTGAACGTATTTGGTAATTTATTGGCTCTATTTGAGCAGAGAAAGGCAGCTTTGCAGGTCCCGCTTTCTTCCCAGGCTGATGCAGATGCGTAAAGTGCTGCTGGTGGAGGGGGATGGCTGGCTTCAGGAGGGGAGAACGATGAAAACCTCCGATAAGCAGGGCACTGATTTCACATGCTGAGAGCTGATTCAATTAGTTATGCAATGATTGCTCTGAAATTACAAATCCACTCATGACAGAGTGAGCTGCTTCACTGCCTTTTTCTGGCTGGTATAAATAGTTTGTATTCTAAATTGAATTTAAAACACCGTGCGTCATGCTGCTGCTAAAACAGGAGCTGCTGTTTGAGTGCTGCGAGAGAAAGAAATATAGGGTGAATTACCACCTTTGGAAAGTAAAAAGAAGTGACCATACAGGTGACTGAGTCACAGATGGAAAAATGCAGCCACGTGCCAGTTATCTGTACCAACTTCCTAATTCCCTGGAAATTATTCTGGCGGCGTCTGAACGGATGGCAGCTCCTGGCTCGTTTCGAGAGCTTCGCAAAGCATCTCAGCCGGCGGCACAGCTGAAGCTGAAAGAGAAGGCAGCGCCGCCGGGATCAGAGGGGAGAGCGCGTGTGCCGCTGAGAGCCTTCGAGTCGGCCTCGTAATTAGCCTCACCTTTAGAAGGGCACATCTGGGCAGCGACGGAGCACAGTGGAGCGAGGGGATGCGTTTCTGAGTCCTTCGGGGCAGCAGCCGGCTTGGCTATGTCGGGATCGCTCCCAGCGCAGCCCAGCTCATGCTGCGTCACGACTCCCCGGCTGGGACCCAGACGCCAACTTTTATTTAGCTGTCACAGCCTTCAGATGGGACCCCGGGCTCCTTTCCGAGCCCGCACGGGAGTCATCCCGAGCAAAGCGGAGCTGGAGCCTGCGTGGGGCTGGAAGCAGCGGCTCCCGCCAGGCCCTGCGGCAATATTTCAGCAACAATTAATTTGTTCCGGTTCTGGTTCTATTCCTTGAACAACTAATTAGTTCTGGCTCGGTTCTAATTTGCTAATTTTAGTCATTTCTAGCTAATATTAGCTCTCGTTCGACCTATGGCTACGCAGCTGGCTTAACGGTTTTATAAAATCGTGAGCCGACGTGTTATTATTTACTGCACGACGGATGCAAAATGTTCTCAGCATCCTCCACGGCCCTGTGCGGGACACGGCAGGGCTGAGACCTGCAGCCTTCCCGGGAGGGCTGCGGCTATTCCTGGTGTCTGTTTGCTTTCCCAGTTGAGGCCGGCACCGTGCTCCCCACGGCCGAGCAGGGCACCATGGGGGAGAGCCCCACGCCACGGCTGTGTCCTGGTTGAGGGAGGAAAGGGAGCGTTTTTAATTTTCTTCCAACCTCCGAGTTTGGAAATGGAGTTAATACAAAGTTTCCTGACTTACCCAAGGGTCAAAGCAATAGAAAAATTCAAGACTCCTTTTCCAAAGCTCCCAGCCCTCTGCTTTCACTTTAGGATACTTGGTGAGGGCTGTAAGTAATTTTTTTAATGTTTCCCCCAATGCTCGTTATTGAAATAAATCAACGAGCGGATGTGGCTGCAAAGCCGGGGAGTGCTCTTGGGTCCCATGTTCTGCCTTTGGCAGGCCGTTCCGGCGCTCGTCTGGGGCAGGCGCAGCCGGCTGATGTTCCCAGGGAATTGCTTCCTTCTCGACGTAAATTCAGGGCCGATTTCTATGTAACTGAACTGAGCCATCTCCCCAATCGCTCGGGCAAGTGTGTAAACAAAAATGAAAGCACCGGCATGTATCCCCAGTGGCTGCCCTGATGCAAAATGGAAACGCTCTGAGTTTTCTTTTCTTTTTTTGGGCAGGCAAACCTCCCTGAGCCACCTCGAGAAGGGCCACAAATATCCATTCGAAAAGCAATTTCGTCTCACCAACCTGCCTCCGCAGCTGATCAACGGGAAATGCTCTTTACAGCTCTGTGTGCATGGCAGACCATTGCCTCTCATTAATATTTAGTATTTGTTTCAAGGAAATTGATTATTTTTGTCTGCCATCCAGGGAAGCTGGCTTTTGAACACGCTACATTTTAATTTGCTCAAGCCCAGCTCTGAAATAGAGACTTTGTTCTGTTTCGCATGACTCCATTTCTATATCGGGCTCGCCCCAGAGATGGGGAACGAAACCAGATAGCCCAAAGGCTCAGGTCGAAGGGACGTTTTGCATCTCGATGCTAATCAGCTGGTCTATGTCCTCACATCGCCCCATCGCCACAGTACCTGAAGAAGACTGTGTGGGTGCTAGTGAATTTAGCCTTGCGGCATGCCAGGGAGGCTGGGATGGGTTGGCAGCACCCTAAAACCCAAGGGAAACTGAGGCACTGAAGGGTTGAGGTGAGCGGCTGCTTCCCAGCTCTCCGGGGAGCAGGGTGGCAGGGCTGTGCCCACATCCTGGGAAATCCCAGACCCATCGCCTACCTGGGGAGACGCACTGCCCACTTCTGGGGATGCTCTTGCCCTGGGCAAACTCTTGGCATAAAAATATTCGGTGCCCAAGACCACACTGGAGAAAAGACGACAGTGAATAGGATACGCTGCCTTCACCATACCTGTCTTGCAGTATTTGGTAGCAGGAAGGATTTTGCCCCATCACGTGGGCTCTGGGAAGTGACCCACTGAGAGACCCGAAACTCAGAAATTCCATGAAAAGCCCAGCGGAAGAATGATCAGCTCTTCGGGGCATGTCTGCATGCAGGTCCCAAGAGGATGCATGTGGGTAGGGTGAGCCCTGGATGCACGGATGATTCAGCCCTAACTCAAAAAAACCCTAAAGACAGAACTGACCTGAGCAAATTTTTAAACTCTCTCCTTCAGCCCGGCCTCTCCAAGGCCAGCCATTGGAGTGCATCTTCCTGCCGGTGCTGGGGCAGGAGAAACCCCAACTCTGGACTTAGGTGGCTCCATGTGAGCATCTCCCATTGCAGGAGATGTGCCCTGGCTAGCTTGTAACCCGATGGAATGGCAGGAAACCTGACGTTACCCTTATTTCACCTACGGGGACCAGAGGCACTGATCTGTTCCCCTGTATGAAAAATCCATTTTTTCTTTCTGATTCCCTGGAATCCCTCATTAAAGCATAATGACATTCTCTGCTCTCCGTCACTGCTTGGATGCTGGAAAACAACCCCTCTCGCAGCTACTATGTTTATCTAAGAGACAGGGAGGAAAAAGATACAGCTGAGCACCCAAAGTGTGACTGTGGTGCTCCCGGGAGTGAGCAGGGAAGCAGAGCCAACGCGGAGCAGGCTGCAAAGTAAATGCATGTCCACCTCCCGCCTGCGAGCGCCGGGGCTGGCTGACCTTTGCCGACCACCAGAGGAGACGGCCTTTCTGGCTGTCCCGAGGGACCACGGAAGAAATGAGCGTGGCCTGACCTTATCCCTCCTGATGAACCGCGCTCGAGCTCCTCTGCAGTCAGCAGCACTTGGTGCGGACGGTTTATTGCCCACGTGCCAGTAGGGACGCGCCAATGGTGCCAGTTGAGCACTGTGGCCAGGCTGAAAGCTCCAGCCTGGGCTCCTGCGGCCACTCAAGGCAAATATCTGAGTGCTTGTGCCAGTCCTAGGTGAGAAAAATTCTGCTTTTCTATGAGATTGCAAACCTCAGGAGAGATGGGAGGGGAAACCGCAGGGCTGGTCCTGGGGAGGACGGTGCATGGCAGCCCCGAGGGGTGCGCGGGGGCAGT